TCCCACTGAAACAAAAGCATGGGTGTATGTTAGAGTCTAGAGCAGCACCCAAAGCATAGCATATACTAGAGAAGTACTTGCTAAAGAAATGGCTCACTGCTCTGTTCTCAAGGATCACAGGGGTCATTAGTGCTGACTGCTGACTATTTTCCAGCTCTCTAACAATTCTGAACACAGGGTGCCCTTGTATAAGGTGAGCCATGATTTGTGACAACAAGTGACTGGGTTTTTACATGCCAATGTGCGATCCTTCAGGCTCCCCTGAGTTCTTTTTGGCACAGGGACTGGCCACTTTGTACATGAAGGCAGTGCCAGCTAAAAGGTTCCTGAGTGACTGGTGGGCAGAAGGTTCCTGTCAACCCGCAGGGACATGCAGTGTACCAGACAAGTCTTTGTTGTTTAAAAGCACTGAGATTTGGGGCTTACTTGTTACTGTGGCACAACCTAACTTGTGCTGACTGACACAGTAAATCTATGCAGATCTTTGTACACATGTCAGCACTCCCAGGGATCCCTAAATACTTTGGGGAATTTCAGGCAACTTTAAATGTCTCAAAGCAAAACCAAACCAAAAATTTCCTCTTAAAACAAACAAAACTCAAAACTTTCTCCTCAGAGACTCAGGCCATGTCTGTCTTTTGCTTTTCTTTCCTTTTTGAGGGTTTGCGGAGGGAGGTTGTAGGGGAGTCTTAAAAACCACTTACCCAACAGGGAAATCAACTTGTATTGGGACCACCTGTGAAGTGACTTTATCTATTAACCACAGTCTCAAATTCATTGGTCAAAAATAAAAGCAGCACATCCACTCTGCTGGTAATGAGTCACCACTGAAAAAAGTGAACAGCTCTGAGCCAAGAGGATCTGCTAAGGAAGACAACACTCCCAGAGTTTTTCAGTGGATTCTGCAATCCTCCTCCTCCTCCTCCTTGTCCTCCTCCTCCTCCTCCTCCTCCTCCTCCTCCTCCTCCTCCTCCTCCTCCTCCTCCTCCTCCTCCTCCTCCTCCTTTCTTTTTTGCCAGTCCTAGGCTTGAACCCAGGGCCTGGGCACTGTCCCTGAGCTTCTTTTGCTCAAGGCTAGCACTCTACCCACTTGAGCCACAGCACCACTTCCAGCTTTTTCTGTTTATGTGGTACTGAGGAATTGAACCCAGGGCTTCGTACATGCTAGGCAAGCACTCTACCACTAAGTCACATTCCCAGCCCCTATTCTTTTTTTTTTCTCTTTTACATAGTCTCCTTTTGTTCAAGGTATGTACAGAGGTGTTACATTTACATAAGTCAGTCTTTTTGGATAATACCACCCCTTTCCTTGCTCTATCCCTGTGCAGTCCTATTCTCATAGCTTGGATGATCAAAGACAGAGCCAAAAAAAAAAAAATATCCATGTCCAGGCTGAATACCAGGGCTTGAACCGGATCTGAGTGCTGTAACTTAGCTTTTTTGTCAGAAGCTGGCTCTCTACTACTTGAGCCACAGCTCCACTTCCAGCCTTTTGGTGATTATTTGGAGATGAGAGTCTCACAAACTTTCCTGCCCAAACTGGCTTCAGTCTGTGATCCACAGATCTCAGCCTCCTGAGTAGCTAGGATGACAGGCATGAGCCACCAGCACCCAGCATTTTTTTTTGGTACTTCTTCTCTGTTGAAGGGGAAATGAAGGGTGTGTGTGTGTGTGTGTGTGTGTGTGTGTGTGTGTGTGTGTGTGTGTGTGTTGTGGGAAGGGATGTTGTTTCCAGGAAGGAGGGAACTAAACTGGGAAAGACGATTCAGTTCAGGGAGGCAACTACCTCCTCTGACCTCAATTCCTTGGCTCAGAGAGATGAGCCTTCAGATAAACTTGATGAACTTTTGGGATTAGTTATATGAAGTCATATTATCTCCATTTTCATCTCTGTTCCCATCCCAGAAGCCAAATGTAGGGCTCTGGCCCTGCACTACCTCCTCCCCCATTTAGCTCCCCCCCAGAGCTACTGCAGCAAATCAGAGCTGTAGCAAGAAAACAAAACCCAGAACAGACAGTGGACAGCGCTGCATGCCTGATTGCTCCAGACAGCCTCGTCTGTCTCCACGGTCAGTGCTGATGCTTGCCCTCGTGAGCCTCTCTATCCAGAGAAGCTGCCCAGGGGCACTTTTAGACTGGGGGCTGGGAGAGGGCAGATATGAGAGAGGAGGATCACTGGCACTGATTTCCTCAGTGGCATTTCAAAGCTGATCTTCCAGCGGTGTCCTTGTTATCAGGCCTCTTTGCTTCTTGCCATACCAAACTGTCACACATTGCTCAGGCTGGGCCTCTGCCCTGGACCTCACCCAGCACAAATGTGAGTTTCAAACCTTGCCAAGATAGATGGATAACAGAGGGTGGGTGCAAGCAAATATTTATATGTAATACAGGTTTTTGCAACGACGCCGAGAACTGCTTGCCGAAAAACTAGGAGAAAGTCACAAAACGAAATTATACTTTTCCTTGCACACATTTGGTGAAAATCACTGAGGAGTCATCTTCGTTGGGATTTTCTTTTTGGTCATGTCCATGCGATGTCTGCCAATCCACAAGACCTTTCACTTAGTACCACCTTAGTCCTAGAACAGATTCCAAGGATCAGCAGCGTGGACACAAGGGACCTTGTCAAACATGCAGGATCTCAGATCCCAGTCCTAGAAACTCTGAGGACAGAGCCCAGTACTCTGAGGCTTGACAAGCCCTGCAGGGAACGGGATCCGTGGAGGAGGAATGGAGCAGAGGAGACTCAGCTTGCCTCACAGCTCAGCGGCTCCTGCTTTGTGTCCCAGGCTGCTGCTCCCCACTCCCATCTCAGGCCACATTCTCCCCATCCACCCAGGAACTACTCATGAGTAAGACCTCGAGGCCTGGAGCTTGGCCTCTGCTACAAATATGGGAAGAAGAAAACTCTGACTACCACCACGACTGGGGAAAGCCTGGAACAGAGCAAGCCGGGAATTCCCTGGCCCTGGACTCCAGAAACTTTAGGAATCCTCTAAAAATTCCCTCTAAGGGGAAAAACAAAAAGCAAAAGTGAGCATTCCACAACCAGACACTAGGGGGAGCCCCATCTCTGGGCTGAGAAGAACCACAAGCGTCTAGAGGGATTTAAACTGTGGGTCCTCCAGGCCTGGCTCCAGAGGACTCAAATCCCCATCCTGAAATCCCAGGTGCTCAAGTCCTTTACACAAAATAACCATCTTTGAGTCCAACCTATGGGCATCCTGCTTTACTCTTTCAACCATCTCCGGTTTACTTGTAGCTCCCAACACAAAGTTACTGCTATTCCAGCGGTTGTTACACTGTATTGCTAATGCATGGCAACTTTCTAGCATGTTCTGTACACACCCAGGTTGTCTTTGCTGTTGTTGTTGTTTGATGGTTCAAACCTGAGATACAGAACCCTCAGTTACAGAAAGGCTAGTCTTCAAGTTGGTTGCTGGTGACTCCTACGGACGAACCAAATCAAATCTGTTTTAAAATGAGCCGTGTGTGATCATTGAGTCAGAGCAGAGGAACGGGAGTTGCCCCAATAGCATCTCCCTCCTCCCACCCCACCTCCCTTCCCAGCCCAATCCACTAGGGCTAGAGGGTGCTTAAGATCATTGTCCGGTCTGTGACAGGACATCCTGGCTCAAAGATCCAGAAATCGTACTCACCTGTGTCTTCACTTGAGAGGTGGGGGCTGTCTGCCTAGGCAAAGAAGCTGTCAGGACCCACCAGTAGCTGTAAAGAAAGTGCCTGGGCCTTTCTTGAAAACTGGGGACTATCAAGATGTTCCCTGGTGGCTTACGCCTGTAATCCTAGCTACTCAAGAGGCTGAGATCTGAGTATTGAAGTTCAGAACCAGCACGGACTGGCAAGTCCAGGAGACTCTTATCTCCAACTAACCAGCAAGGAAAAAAGAAAGGCAGGAAGTGGAGCTGTGGCTCAAGTGGTGGAGTGCTATTCTTGAGTGCAAAAGCTAAGGGTCAGTCCCTAGACCCTGAGTTCAAGCCCCACTACCTGCACACACCGTGGTGACAGCAGAGCCGCACAGCTCGGGACGCAAGCGCTGCCTCTGCTCGACCGGGGAATCTCTCCTTGGAACCCACAGGTGAACTTCCCACAGCAGGCACAAAGTGGTGCGTTTGGGGGGAGAAGGCTAGTACTTCCTCCACAACGACTCACGCAGCCAAAGAGGAGGGCACACGGGATCACGATCTAGGTACAAAACAGGTATAACCGCCGCGACCCCCCGTTTTCCGGGAAAGAGGAATACCCTACCGGGCAGGGCTGCTGCGGGAGGGGAAATCCAGCCAGAGCGAAAGCCCCACAGTGGGCGGGCGGGCGCGGCTTCCCGCGGCCAGCGTCCGGCCGCGCGCGTCCCTCCGCCTCCGTCACGCGACTCGCGCCGGGGGGACATCCCCGCCCCGCGCGGGGCTCGCCCGGGAAGGGGGCTGCGCGCAGCCGGGGTGGGGAGGTGCGCAGGGACCCGCGAACCCAGTCGAGACGAGGGGGTGGGGGTCGGAGGCGCCCGCAGCGTGGACGGTGGACCCTGCTTAGGCCCCATTCTCGGTCTGCGCCTCATCTGGGCAGGGTAGGGGGCGAAGGGGGTGTGGAGAGACAGGGAGCAGGGATGGGGACCGAAGCCCTTCCAGAAACGTGCGCCCTCAGAGTGGAGAGCCGCAGGGAACCTTGACCAGGGCAGAACCCTTCACGGCCCGGGTGGTCGGGGATGCACCCCCTCATCCGCAGCAGGCGCCCCTAAACCCCTACTGGCTCTGGTCCGCCCCTGCGCCCCCAGCCCAGGCCGCGTCGGTGGTTCTCACGGGTCGCGGTCCCTGCCGCTCCGGCGCCGCCCCGCCCCCGCCCCGCCCTCGCCCCGCCCCGCGGGCTGCGGTCCCTTTAAAAGCGCGCTCGGCCGGCGCCGCCCCTTCTCTCGGGCCGGCTCGGGAGTCCTCGCGCCGCCCGCGCGTCCGCCCGCAGCTCCGGCGGCCGCCGCCCCCGGGCTCGGCTTAGCCATGGCGTCCCCGGCCATCGGGCAGCGCCCCTACCCGCTGCTCTTGGACCCCGAACCGCCGCGTTATCTGCAGAGCCTGAGCGGCGCGGAGTCGCCGCCGCTGCCGCCGCCCCCCGGCCGCCCGTCGCGCCGCTGCGTCCCCGCGTCCCTCTCCACGGCGCCCGGGGCGCACGAGGGGCGCGGCGCGCGGAGAGCACCCCGGGGAGGCTCGGAACCCCAGCCCCGGGCTTCGCGCCCCGCTCGCCCTCTCCGGCCTGGGCTGCAGCCGAGACTGCGGCGGCGGCCTGGAGCGCCCCGGCCCCGCGACGTGCGGAGCATCTTCGAGCAGCCGCACGATCCCCGCGTCCCGGCCGAACGAGGCGAGGGCCACCGCTTCGTGGAACTGGCGCTGCCGGGCGCGCCGGGCTGGTGCGACCTGTGCGGACGCGAGGTGCTGCGGCCGGCGCTGCGCTGCGCCCGTGAGTACCGGGGCGGGGTGGGGAGGGGCGCGGGGCCGGGGCGCGGGCGCCGGGCGCGGGGCTGCGGGGTGGGGAGGGGCGCGGGGCCGGGGCGCGGGCTCCGGGTGCGAGGCTGCGGGGTGGGTGGGGAGGGGTGCGGGGCCGAGCCGCGGGCTCCGGGTGCGAGGCTGCGGGGTGGGGAGGGGTGCGGGGCCGGGGCGCGGGCGCCGGGCGCGGGGCTGCAGGGGGGGGGTCGGGGGTCGGGGCGCGGGGCTGCGGGGGGAGGGTCGGGGCGCGGGGCCAGGCCTCGGGCGCTGGGCGAGGGGCTGCGAGGAGGGGTTCGGGGGGGTCGAGGCGCGGGGCTGCCTGGGGGGGGCAAGGGGCACTGCCCCCTGTGGCTCCAGGGGAGACCCAGCATCAAGACAGGTGATCCCTAAGGATGCTCTGCTCCTACCGCCCCCCCCCCCAGCCTGGTACCCTGCAGTGACTGCCCGCCGACCAGCGTGGGTTTGCCGTATGCTCCACAAGCACCTCTCTGCTGACAGGTGCGTGTCCCAGCCCCCTTGATGCCAGCGTGCGAGCTCCGCGTTGGAGTTGATGGTCAGCCCACAAGGTCATTCGGTGGCACCTCTGGTTTTAGTTTGTAAGCTCTTGGAAGTGGTAGATGCCGAGGTGATTACTTGACCTCTGTGCGGTACAGGGAGTGGGGGAAATGTCCGCCTGTGGTCCCGGCTGGAACTCTGTTGGCACAGGGAGGAGATGATGCAGCTAGACTTTGGATGGAAACGGACTATGAGGGCTGGAGAGCCCGAGGTCCCCGGGAGCCTGCGTGTGCCCCCCTCCCGCTTTCCACCTCTGACCCCTTGGGATTCTGCTCCAGGGTTGGGGCTCCAGGGTGTGCCCTGCCGCCTCGTCGATCTTCTCCTAGGTTCCTGCATCCTCCCTCACATCACGCTCCACCCTGCCCCAGGGTGACCCCTGCAAGGACCCTTCCTCCCCGGTGCCCCTCCAGTTGCCTCCTGAGGCCCGCTCTTCTCAGCCCTGACTGCGAAACACTGGGCACCCAGTGTGGAGATTTTTCTGATCAGAGCCACAACCTTCTTGGCATATATTGTTTTTTCCTCCTGCAATGAGACGTGTGTCCCCCCCCCCCCCCACCTCCTCCAAGCCGTGCATTTGCTGTTGCTACCTTAACAGAGGAGATCCAGAGCCCTGTGTGTATGTAGACACTTTAAATATCCAAAGCACTAAGTGCAGACAATGGCAAGCATCTCTGGAAATGGATTGTGGTTTGCATCTTTCACAAGAGCCCTTCCCCCACATCAGCCGCCCCACAGCTCCTGCGGCAGCGCTGGCCAGCTGCAGCAGCTCCATCCCCAGCCCTTGTCAGGAAAGCCCTACCTTTCCTCTCTGGGCAGTGGGTAATTGAGGGGCTTTGTGTGCCTCCTCCTGCAGCTGGCTGCTGGGAAGGAGAGTTCGGACTCTAAACCAGGGGCAGTGGAAGGGGATGACTGCATTTAAACTGATCCTGGTCTTCCTGTCAGGACTCAGTGCCTAAGCCAGGTGCAGGTGGCTCCTGCTTGTAATCCTAGCCACCCAAGAGGCTGAGATCTGAGGACCATGGTCCAAAGACAGCATCACAGGACAGGAAAGACTATGAGACTTTTATCTCCACTTAACCACCCCCAAGAAAAGCTAGAAGTGGAGCTGTGCCTCAAGTGGTAGAGCCCTTGCCTTGAGCAAAAAAGCCAAGGGACAGAACCCTGAGTTCAAGCCACAGTACTGGCACACACACACACACACACACACACACCACCACCTCAGTGCAGGTGCCAGTTAAGAAGGAAAAAGTAAAAGTTACAGAGGTCCATTTGTGTACAGAAGGCCTGGTAAATGTCTCTGACCTCACAGGAGAATCTAATGCCTCCTGCTCTTAAATAAGATGCCTGCTCTCACTTTCCCAGTGGTCCTGGGTGCTTTACTTCACCCCTAACCTAGGAGAGGCTGTGTCCTCACTGGATGGGTCTTATTGGAAATCTGCGTTCTTGTTTGTATTTAGACTTTTAAGGACATACCAATCGTAGGAAAATTTGCACAGAACTTTTTGATTGTTTTTGGTTTGTGGTAATGATGTATGTGTGTGAGCATCTCTATAATGTTCCAGATTAAATCCTCACATTGCATTAGAGTTGTTTCTTTCCCTTGCTGAGGTTATAAAAAAAAATTAGGGACAGAAAAACTAGGTGCAGACAGTATCTAGTACGTTGTGTATGATTGGGAAAGTCCATTTGCTACTTTTTTTAAATGGTACTGTGGGGCTGGGAAGGTGGCTCAGTGGTAGAGCACTTGCCTTGCATGCACGAGGCCCTGGGTTCCATTCCTCAGCACCACATAAGCAAAAAAAAGAAAATGGTACTGTGGGTTGAACATTGTATATGTCACACAAATACTTTATCATTTGAGCTACACCCCCCAGCCCTCTCATTTTTATTTGTAATTATAATTCTCACTGTCTTTGCCTAGGCTTACTTGAACTCATATCACCCTAACTCTGCTTCCTGTGTGGCTGGGATTACAGGCATGTGCCACTACCCCTGGCTACAAAGTCCTTTCTTGGGCTACATAGTTAGTTTAATACCAACTAGTGATAGCTGAATACCAGAAAAGAAGCAGAACTGGAATCAAGGGGCTCTAGAGAGGTCTCTGTTTGTTGTTATTAATATTTAACTAAGCGTGAGCTGTGTTGGCTGGAAAAAGTTGAGAAATGTTCTAACGTACAAGTTTGGCTGGCAGGCCATATCCACCAAGAATCCTGATGTGTGTGTGTGTGTGTGTGTGTGTGTGTGTGTGTGTGTGTGTGTGTGCATGCGCGCGCTCCTGGGGTTTGAATTCAGGGTCTGGGCACTGTTCCTGAGATTTTGTATTGAAGGATAGCACTCTACCAGTTGGACCACAGTGTTAACACTTTCAATTTTTAAGTGGTTAATTGGAAATAAGAATCTCATGAGGGGCTGGGAAGGTGGCTCAGTGGCAGAGCACTTGCCTTGCATGCCTGAGGCCCTGGGTTCGATTCCACAGCACCACATAAGCAAAAAGAAAAAAGCTGGAAGTGGCACTGTGGCTCAAATGGTAGAGTGCTAGCCTTGAGCTGAAGAGCTGAGGAACAGTGCCCAGGCCCAGAGTTCAGGCCCCACGACCGGACTCCAAAAAAAAAAAAAAAAAGTCTCATGAAATTTCTTGCCTGGGCTGGCGTTGACCCATGCTACTCAGATCTCAGCCCCTTGAGAAACTAGGATTACAGATATGAGCCATTGATGCCAGGCTCAAGCACCCTGCTTTTAAATTGAAGGTCTAATTTCAAGGCAGAGTTGATTTATTTTATCTTTATTTTGAAAAGGAAGGACCAAAACCTCATGGGGCTCGGGGAGGAAAGTCCTGGGATGGAGTCCTGACCACCACCTTGTTTTGTGTGATGTTGTGCATCTTTGTCTTCTGTTTCTTTGTTTTCAAAAAATGGTGACTCACATCTGTAATCCTAGCTACAGAGGAGGCTGACATCTGAGGACTGAGGTTTGGGCAGAAAAGTCTATGAGACTCTTATCTCCAATTTACTAGGGAAAAAAAGCCAGAAAAAAAGCTAGGGGTGGCTTAAGTGGTAGAGTACCAGCCTTGAGTGAAAAAAGCTAAGGAACAGTGCCCAGGTCCTGAATCAAGCCCTAGAACTAGCATCCAAAAAAAAAAAAGTGTGGGGTTGAGGGGAGAAAAAATTGTCTTGTTAATGTAAGACTTCAGTGGATTTATCCTGAATATGTAAAGTGCTTAGAAGAGGACAGGGCAAAATACAAAATGAATGTTTAATTCAGCATGAAGGTGACAACTGTCCCCCGCCACTCAAGGGCTGTATCAGCCTGAGCTGGTGACACTTTTTGAATTATCTCTCGAAGCGGCAGGTGCTGTGTTCCAACTCTGCCGGATTGCTCAGTTGAGGGAGGAGGGAAGTGCCCAGCAAGTTTGGGCCCTCGGTGTGTCTTGGGAATGGCGTCCTGTTCAGTGTTCATGGGAGGAGGCAGCGGCTTCTGGCTGAGGAGCATCTTCACAGCACGCCAGGGGCTGAGACTCTTTTGTGACGGGTTCTTTGTGTACCACTCCAACCCAGGAAAGTGCCAGGCATCATTTCAAGAGGTAACAGTCCCGGTGTTTGTACTATTCCACCCCCCAGCTGTTGGAGACAAGCAGAAAGCAATGGGTACCTGGATGACACCAGTCTGCGTAGGAGCTGACACTGAGTGGAGCCACATTGGTCAAGTGGGCTTTGGTTAAAGAAACATTAGAAGATCGTATTTGCACTATCTGCCCAACTTAAGCTTACCCCTGCTTCAAAGCCTCTGAGTTCTGCTTAATGCTGGGTTTGCTAAGAAGAAAGTTCAGCGCTAATACTGATTTTGGGGAATGAGAGACATCATGCTGGTTAGAGAAGGAACCCCGGGAGGGGATTTGTGCATATATACTGAGGGAGAGAAGCGGGGAAGGGGGGAGCATCCAGGAAAATGGTGCTGTGACACCGGTGTATGTTTGGGGTGGAATGATTATGGTGAGGATCCATTTCCAGCCTTGAACCATCAACAGCAAATAACCCAAGAAACTCACCAGCTGCCCTTGGGCTTTGTTCTCACCGATGATCCCTTTGTTCTGTGGAAGGCATTTAGAGCTGGCCTTTTACCATTCTTTCCCTTTTTTTGGTGTGTGTATGGCAGCCCTCCTGGGCTAGGGAAACCCAGGTGAACTACCACGCTCAGGAGGAGCGGCGCAGATGGCCCTTTACGTTGTCAGTAAGTGTCACATCTCTACCACCCCAGTCAGTCTTACTGAAGGGACACGTATTTGGAACCATGACGTGTTATGATTGGGTTGGAATGGGGGCCCTGGGGCTTCAGTGCCCTGACCTCCCTCTCTGGCTATAGACTTTAATTATGGTGTGAGTGCGAGTGTTTGCTGTGAAGTGTGGCACAATGCTCAGGGTG